AAAAAAAGCACGAACTCCGCGAACGCTGAATGTGAAATATTGTTTATACTCTATTGTTTGTAAAGGATTTAACACAAGAAAGGATAGTCAAAATACAACACTCAAATAGCCCATATTCCCGGCTACAGTACTTACTACTACTTTAGCTATACCCCCTGGGGATATTGGACCGAGCTTTTGGGAAACCAACGACCTTTTCAGTGAACAGGTTTCCTTGCGGCTTGCACCTGCTGCCATCATGAGCCCATCCTCCAACGTGTGATAAAATCATCCTCTAAAGTCAGGCAGGTAGTTGTGCTGCGTCCTGTTTGTTTGAAGAAATATCGGTTTCCGTGATCAGTAATTTTTACTGGATGGAAGATTGGCACCATGCCCAACCCCCAAACTGGAGGGCCAGGGTTTTCTGTCAGGGTGGCCTTCCCTTAGCCACTATATCCCGTCATAATTTCTAAAGGGGGCCGGATACCGGCCTTATGCTGTTGTCGCTCAGCTGCAGTTGGACTGCATTACCAGGGTTATGACAAGGACATGCGGTAGTCGACTTTGTGGCGAAGCCTATGACACGGTGGGCATTTCTCAGCATATACGGAGTACACCTTGTGGCCTCAGTGCACTCCACCCCAGTATTCCCGGCTATGTGAATACCTTTTGCTTTCCTCACAGGACCCATCTTCCCTTCTTGACCTCACGTCGAGATATTGTGATTCCCAAATGAATGAAATTTCTCCCCTTTGTTTTAGAAACAGTATAGATTATCCCCGTCAAAACTTTGAGATTTTACACGCTAGTGTGCTATAGGCTTTTGTACATTTTACTTTTTCCCCACTAAAATTCTCCACCTTAATGCTCCATTTTTGACCATTTTTCTCACTAAAATTCTCAGTCTCCCCCCCCCCCCCCCCCCNAGGCACTCTTAAGTGGTATCTTTTAGAGGTCTAATGAAGCTCGAGCAACGTCCACATTAGTCTCCCTTAGGAGTTAAATTCATATTTTCCGATGAGCATCCCTTGCCTTTTCATACGGGAGTTACCACCCCTTCCCCCCCCCCCCCCCCCCCCCAAAAGTCACTAAAAATGCTCGGTTAATACTTATACAAAGGGTTTTTTAAATTTTAATAATTTTAACGTTTTAACGCAATTAACAGCTCGGGGGTTTAACAACTGTATACGTAGTATAAAGGGTCACAGTCTCACAATTGTGACTAAACAAACATGGCCGCCTTTAATTTGATTTGACTACAGCTGACCTCTCCTCAGTCTCCACTCTGCTGTATTAGGGTTGCCTTTCATTTTGGTGTTTCAATTTCGAGTTAAGTCTTCATTTTCTTGTAAAAAATAATTTTTATTTCTATTTTCTGTGCAAACAAGATTAATTTTCTGGGTAAATGCCACTAAAATGCTCGACCAAATGCTAGCATAATGTACAAAAGCCTGTTGTGCTAACTGTCGATAATTTTACTGTGTTTCAAGCGGGTTGCTTTTCTTTGCAGGTGATAAGTTCCAGTGTATTTTATGTTTTGTTATATTTCTTTCATTTTCCCAATATGTAGCTAATTAATTCAATGAATTGCTTAGATATGTTTAAGAAGAGGAACGGTGTGTATCTGATACGTATACCCAAGCAAAACCTGTGAGCTTAAATTTCAAAAGTAAGATTTAAACCTGTAAATGGATTCAAAAGTTTCTTTCCAGAAACAAAGACCTCTGGTGTCTCTCACATTACTCAATTGACAACCTGCTTTGCTTTCTTGTTTCCAAGGCAAGTTTCAATAAATAATCACCTGAAAGTAATAGACTTCAATCTTTCCAATGTTTCACTATGGTCAAGAAAAACTACAGCTCGAGGTTTAACTTTCGAATGGAAACCGATAAATAATTGTTAAAGGAAATGTTATCGAAACCTGTGTGGAGTGCAGGGGCAAATGCAAGGGAACGACAGCTCACATGACACTTCAAAAGGTGCGAAGAATACTTAAACTTTTCACCGTTTGCGTTGTCGTCAACAAAGATTGTTTAATGTTTATCTAAGACAAAATGCCTGTTTATGCGCCTCCAAAGCGCTATGTATTGTCTGGAATGATTTTTATTGGCTTTTTTGCGATGTCTGGTTTGAGAGTAAACTTGAATGTCGCTATCGGCGCAATGGTCAACAATCACACCGCCGTAGTGGACGGAGAGACTATCTGTAGGGTAAGTTAAATTACTGTATAACAAAAACAAGATATAAAACTGTTTTTAGAATTATATTTCGCGTATAACCCTCGATGGGAATATTAAAATCAGTATATAAGATGGAATAATTGCAATTTTTAAACCGATATAAAACGTTACTGACCATTCATTAGTATTATGTAACGCAATTTTTTTTTTTATTGGGCATTTAAGGTTACAACTCTCTAGGGCATAGCTTTTTTGATATTTTCTACTCCCAGATAACAACAACAACAACAACAACAAAACAAAACAAAACAAAACAAAACAAAACAAAACAAAAACAGAGCATTAAGAGAAAAATTTCGAAGCGCTTCATGACATTTGAAGACGTAAGAGCATTTTATACCTGCTGGAAATAGCTGCCTGTCGCTGCTTAACGTTTTTTTCTTTTTTTATACGCCGCCGGTTTCAAAAATGTCTAAAAGGTTCGAAGCAGGAAACTTCTGAAACATTCCAGTATTTAACAACAACATTTTGTTTACTTTAATGAATTCAAAGGAAATTTCAGCAAAATTTGATTCTGTATTAAGTTCTCCTGCAGAGTAATTGGTTTCCATGACAACCATCAAAGGATTTTTAAGGGAGGCTTGGGGAGTTCATTACCTGGATTTTATAGATAAAATGGCATAGCCATCATTTTTTGTTGAGTTTAATAAAAGAAAATGAATATCATAGATACTAGACGAAGAAGCTTCCTTGCACAGAGTGGAGCACACAGAGAGAACAAACTCAAAATCCAAGCGAAGCAACAAAAAACACAACAACAGCAGTGAGAAATTTAAATACAGCTGCTCGTGAATGAGGCTTAGCAAATTGCAGAGAGACTTCTTTTTTTATATAAATGCGATGATTTATGCAATCGACACCTTAAAGACGTTTTTACATTTCTCAGTTGAATGCATTTATATATAAACATTTGGTTTATGATTTTATCTACAGGAACCAGAATTTAAATGGGAGCCTGAGCTAAAAGGTTAGAAACCATCAACTTAAGTAACATCAAAGAAGAAAATAATTAAATTGAAATTGATAATTAATTGATGCTTATAAACAACACGCGCTACATTGATCTGGGACCGTGTGAGGTACGATATCCCTCTACAATTTCCAGATGCGACTTGGTAGCAGCGTAGCTTGGTGACAGGTGTCTGCAGTCATTCGGTGACCGTGTATTTTGTGTAAATTAAGAACATTATGTTTTTTTTTAGGTGTGATTCTTGGTGCATTCTATTACGGCTACATGGTGTTCCAAATCCCTGGGGGCTGGTTGGCGTTACGAGTGGGCGGGGCTCGTCTTTTCGGAGCAGCAGTCCTTGCTGCATCAGTACTCACTTTGTTAACCCCAGCGGCTGCTCGCTGGAGTCCTGCTGCTCTTATTGTGTTGAGAATATTAGAAGGCCTCGCGCTGGTAAGCTCATTAGACAGTACACTTAAACCGGTGTTACCCACTGAGGTAAATAGGGGGAGAAATTTACTGTCGTGGCACAGTCGTGGGATAAACATCTTCTGCGTCCATCAGCTTCATAAATAGACCTCCCAGATTCCAACAAAAAATGGCGCCGAGTCGAGGTCAGGATGGACAAAAATAAGAAAATGTATGGAAATGTCCGCCGCAACCTCGCTCTGGTTACTATTGTTCGTACGCACTGAAGTGGAATAGGAGAAGGGTATATTTGATCTAGCCGATAAATTCTCTAGTCGAGAGAGGAGAGAGTACTAGCTAATCACAGTACATAGATATTTGCAGTGAAAATTTACTTGCATATAATTATTGTTGGCTCAATCTTCAGGATGGAATAGGATGGAAAAAAACCTGTGTGTTTCCGCAATGAGAAGAATGGTTGGTTTAGGATAAAGCCGTATAATGGCAAATAAAAGTGCAACTGAAAAAAATCAAAGCTCGATCGATAAAAGTCCAATTAACTTAAAGAAGATTGCAAATTAACATTTTTGGTATGCACTATTGTTAGGGTGTTTTATTTCCTTGTAACCACGCTATCTGGAGCCGATGGGCGCCATCTGCCGAGAGAACAACTCTGGTGACTGTTTCCATCACAGGTTTGTCTTTTTGTGTCTGTCCACAGTGGGCCGTCTATGTCACAAATACTAAACTATCGCCTGATCTCAGGATAATTGTATTAGTAGAGAGAAGTATTGTTTTTGGCTTCTGTTGAAAGCTTGATCAGTTCATTTGATAGTATAGTTCAGGATGAAACAGACACGATAAGAAATCAAAATATAATAATTACTAAATCACGATTGGAACAAAGGATTTGTGTACAAATTTATCGATCTAAGCCTAAATTTTGTTAAAAAAAAAGAAGCAGTAATAAGATTGACAGGGATGCATTCTAGTGTAATAATTTAAAGGCACGTTTCACCCTTAAAATGTCTCTCTATTACCATTTCTGTGTTACTCTTTTTCTCAGGAGGTAGCATCGGCTATTTACTCACTATGCCAGTTTCCGGTCTATTGACTAAATATGGCTTTGATGGAGGCTGGGCCTCTGTATTTTACTGCTTTGGTAAGAATTGCTGTTGCATTTATCACGTTGGCAAATTTTATTAGCTTTAATAACGCCGAATTTATACTAACCGATCATGAGGCCTCACAACTACCTATTCTAACACTTTGATTCGTTGTTAACTCGGGGTTTGATTATGTATGCATTGGGACACTGGACCCACAGGTAATTCAAGAAGGTACAGTCTATCATGGTTACATGAGGTAATTTTCCAACCTCATTCCCAGGGCTTTTCCCTTTCTCTAAGGGAAAAGCCTTGGGAACGAGGTTGCTAATTACCCATAAGGCAACAGCATGGCATGGCAGAGTGACCCGTTATTACCTTATTAGGTGTTTTCGGCATTGTGTGGTATGTTGTCTGGTTGATGGTCGTGTACGAGTCTCCTGCATTGCATCCCACGATATCAACTGAAGAACAAAGATTAATACAAGAAACAGCATTGGATCTATCCAAGGTAAATCCTGTGTTTACAAAAAGCGGACATTACTTTACAAGTATCCAAAATTTGGCAGTTTAAGAAGCAGTTAAAACTGAAGTATATCTGTCTTATACTGATTTTTTCTCGTATCTCAGGTGGACAAGATTATTATCCCTTGGAAATCTATTCTTTTGTCACCACCAGTGTGGGGAATAATTGCTGCCAACTTTGCTTTAGACTGGGCGTTTTATATTTTGCTGATATCAATGCCGACTTTTCTGATAGATGTCATGAAAACAACCATCACCAAGGTGAGATTATCAAAGGAGAGCTGGTTATTTTTTTGTAAAACCTGCTCCTTGTAGGGAGCTTAAGCAAACCCCAACGGCAACGGCAACGAGAACGTCACCAAAAGGTTTAAGGGGCAAGACAATAGCTATACACCTACGTTATAAATCTTTGTACATCTCGTAACGTTCTCTGCAAAAAAACAAAGTGAAATCATCAAATTTTGCATATTTTGAAGAACGCGAGCCACGACTGCTAATTTTTCGTTTTTCCTTTTCAGAATTGATCGCTCGCCTTGGACGCCCTGTGTAGACATAAGCCTAACAATAGATGATTAACTCTCTTTTTGCCTTTATTTTAAGATGGGTTTCTTAGCTGCAGCACCTTTTCTCGTCAAAGGGCTGTGTTCTCCATTGTCGGGATTAGCGGCAGATGTTCTTAGAAAGAGCAAAGTGTCAACCAAAAATGTTAGGAAAGTTTTTTATGCTGCAGGTAGGCCACCACATGTTTATGCCATTCTTAATGTCCGTCCGTCCGTCAGTCAGTCAGTCAATCGGACAGACAGACAGAGACAGACAGACAGACAAATAGACCGACAGACAGTCAGTCAGTTCGTAAGTGGAGCTGTCTGTTGGTCAATCGGTCGGTCAGTTGATCAGTGG